ATTGAAAACCCAAAAAAATCCACAATAGGAGTGCTGGAAGGATAGAGGAATATGTTTGTGTGGCAGGATACAATATCAACAAGCAGCAGTCAGTCAGATTCCTATATACAGTTAATGGTATTGCAGACATAGAGATCAAGACAGTAGTACCTTTCACCATAGCCAAGCATAAATTGAGATATCTAGGGATATACCAAACAACAAAAAACTAAAGAAAACTAAAAATGAGGGAAACTACAGAACATTATTACAAGAAACCAAAAGAGACCTTCACAAATGGAAGAATATCCTATGCTCATGGAAAGGAAGACTCAGTATTGTAAACATGTCAAACCTACCGAAGACACTATATAAGTTCACTGCAGTCCTGATACAAGCACCAGCATCTTATTTCCAAAAAAATGGAAAAACTAATGACCAACTTTCATATGGAAAGGGAAGAAGCCCAGAATTGGCCAAGAACTCCTCACGAAGAAGAATAAAGTGGGAGGGCTTGCATTACACGACTTCAAAACTTATTATACAGCCACAGTTGTCAAAACAGCATGGTACTGATATAATGATAAATACACAGACAAATAGGAACAGAAAATCCAGAAATAAAATCAGCAGCATACGGACAACTAATCTTCAATAAGGGCCCCCAAACCATCAAATGGAAGTGTATACCCTCTTTAACAAATGTTGCTGAAAAAATTGGATATCTACATGCAGAAAAATTAAACAAGACCCTTACCTCACTCCATACACAAGAACAAATTTAAGGTGGATCACACACCTCGCGGTAAAGTCCCAAATTATCAGGATCTTCAGTGAGAGAATTAAGACAAACCTTGGTGCAGGGACTACATGGGCTATCAGAAATAAGGAAGGATACACACAGAGCGGAAGTTACAATAGACAAATGGGGCAAACTAAAGATAAAACACTTGTGTACATCGAAAGACTTCATCAAGAGAGTACCAAGAGAGGCCACAGACTGGGAAAAGATATTTAGCAATGACATATCAGACAATGTACAGAACTCGGCAAGCTTACAATAAGGAAGAAACTAATTGCCCACTGAGGAGATGGGCAAAAGACCTGAACAGAAGTTTTACAAGGGTGGAAATCTGAATGGCCAAGAAACATATGCAAAAATGTTCCCAATTATTAGTCATCTGGGAAATGCAAATTAAAACAACTATTATACCAGCTAAAACCCTCAAAGATAGACCGATTCAAAAAATCAGGAAGCAACAAATGTTGGAGGGGAACTGGTGAGATAGGAAGTCTCATCCACTGCTAGTGGTCTTGTAGATACATACTGTCACTCTGGAAAGAGATTTGGCGATACCTAAAACAGATGGAAATCAAGTTACCTTACAACACAGCAATCCCCCTACTGGGCATATACCCAGAAAAAGAAGAAACAGACCACGACCAGACATCTGCATTCCAATGTTCATTGCTGGCAGTTCACAATCAAAGAATTGAAAGCAGCCTAAATTTCCACCAAGAAATGACTGGCTTAGAAAAAACTGGTATATACACACAATGGAGTATTACGCATCCCTCAAAAGCAGTGATGAAAAGATGAAGCATCTCGTCTCGCAGAAGGAGTTGGAGGACATTACGCTGAGTGAAGTTAGCCACAAATTTGTACAAGCACAAAAGTACAAGTACAACATGAATCCACTGATGTAAGTTCAAACAACAGAACAAGCATATAGGAAAATGCACATAGCACTCAGTTCCCAGACTGAGGACCAGATATGCTGGTGTGCATCAGACTACACCCCAAAAATAAAAAGAAGTATAAGAGCTGCTGCTAGCAGCTGTGCTGAAAGACACCCTCTGCTTTAAGGCAATGGGGGGCCAGGGCACCAATCCACCCAAAGGGAAGGTATTGTTTAGGTCTCCACAGGAAACAGGGAGAGACTGAGTAGACCTCATTCTGGTGCACCAAATCTTGAGGGTGACGTTTCTGCATGGAGCAGCTTGTTAGCAGAGAGGACTGCAGGGTTGGTCCCAGCTTGAAATGTCATGTCCCCACCCTAGATGACAGCGCTGCAGAGGACAGGACTGAAGCTGCATTCCTGGGAGAGCACTCCGTCTATCCCAGGCACAGGGGAGCAAACCAGGAGAGGAGTGCAACAGACCAGCAATGGGAGCAAAGCTATGTAATCCCTGAGGAATTCTGATTGTAGACTTCTGAGTAGGGGCAGCACTTAGTACCTATTGGAACTGGCTGGAAGTTACTCACAAGGGGTCACACTGAAAGTCTAAAGGTGAAAATGGGTGGTGGTGGTGGGGGGCACTAGACCACTCTATCCCCAACTACAGAAAGAGCAATGAGGACTTGTAGGAGACACACCTTTCAGCCACGAAAACTGAGGACTAAAAGAATGTAAGAGCTGTTGGTATGTAGGTCCTGGGATATGAAAACCTAAGAGAAATGGGGACTAGACTGACCGATTATAACAAGTCCTCTCTATTTAGCAGAGAGATACTCATCTACTCTGGGTCAGGATAACAGTTAGACATGGGACTATATACATGGTCTTTCTTTTCTTTCTTTTTTATCTTCTTCCTTTCTTTTTTTGTTTTGGATGTCTATCTAATTAAGATAGGCAGGATAAGCAAGCCCAAGGAGACAGCAACGGGACCAACAGTTCCAGTGGGTGGGTGGGGGGTATGGGAGGGAGAAGGCGGGGGAGGGCAGTGATAAACCAACAACAACAGAGACGGGAATAGCGAGAGTGCTAAAATAGATGGTGAGGAGGGTGCGGCATTCTTGGTTGTGTTTGATTAATTGAAACGTGTCGGAGAGAAATTGCTGAGAGGTGAATGACAGGTTATCATGATGGGGCAGTAGGGAAGAATTAAAAAAAAGAGGAAGAGAAAGTAAAAATTATATATCGGTATAAATATAAGTATTTATATATGTAAAGATATACAGATTGGTGTATTTGTCCATATATATATGTATACGTATATGTGTAAATACAACAAGGAAGCAGATGGGCTTTGGATCTCTATTTAAATCTTACCTCAGTACAAGAATAGTTTGTCCTACTAATGTGGCACTGTATGACACTCACCTTCCCAACATGATCACTGAAGACAAAATGGGTGCATGAAGAAAGCTGATGATGTCCAGATATTAAAAGATAAAGTGTCTGGGGTCTGAAACGCAGTTAAAGAAACAGTCATCTAGCAGGGAAGCAAAAAAGTCCATATGGAAGAACACCAGCCTGTGTGGTCATGAGGTGTCAATCGGAATAGATATCAGTAGTTCAATAAACAAGCAATTAAATTGATGTGAAGGAGTGCGGACAAAATGGAGACCAAACTGACCTGTAAGATACTTGGATGGTACCTCACAGAAGGGCCACACAAAAGGGATGTTAAGTCCAGGGTGCAGTATACCACAGATGAAACACACAACCATGCCCTAGTTCTTTAGCATTTCCTCCCTTCATTATCATGGTCCTTTTCTTACCTCATTAATCTTGTTAGACATGAATATGTTCATTTGCATAATTTGGATTGCTTGATGCATGAAAGGCAAGATAGATAACCCTTCAGAAGCAGTAACGGGAGTAATAATTCCCTGAGGGTACGAGAAGAGAGGGAGGAGAAAGGAGCGAGGTGGAACTGATAGTAATGATGACTGTATAATCCCACTCAAGGGGAATGAATAACAGATTTGTAGGTGAACGGATATATCGGATGGTGTAAGGCACAGAAAGAATATATATGTAAAAGAATATATACATTCTTTCTGTAAACAAAAAATATATACATATATATATATATATATTCTTTCTGTGTATGTATATATAGACATAACAATAAGAGTTCCTGGGTGGGGAGTAAAGGGGAGCTGGTATCAAGCAGTTCAAGAAGAAAGAAAATGTTTTCAAACTGATGGCTGCAGCAATTGTACAATCATGCTTGATCTAATTGAATTATGGATTGTTACAACATCTGTAAGAGCTCCTAATAAAATGTTTAAAAAAAGAAAGAAAGAAAAAGACCCTGACTGGGAGAAAAACAAATTCTAAGAGGCACTCTAAACTGAAGCAATGCACATTAAAAGTAGAGACATACAAACTGGAGAAAGCAGAAATGCAACAAAAATGGATCAATTCATTTGTTCGAAAACATTTCCCATGAGCTGACAATGTGCCCAACCACTCACGATGCTGATACAGTCAACATTCTGCCGCTTGACAATAAACAAACAGGTAATATACTAATACAGAATTTCAAGTAGAGATTACTAGTGTGTAGAAATTACCTGTAATTCAAGGGGAAAAAAACAAGAAAGCTCATTTTACATTGATTCTAAAAATACCACACACAGGAAAATAGAACAGACATGAATAATTATGTGTCATATGATATTACAATGAAACAAAAATTATTAGAAATTGCATATCTATAATGTGTGTACATGGAATTTAATCTTGTTTTGGAAGTAGTTAGGCAATAAATAAATAGGGATATGAATATCTTACTGACAAAAATAAATATTTAAATTTTAAAATCTGCAATGACATCGGAACATTACAAATGGAAAATATAATTTCTTTTAGAATGCTCAGAATATTTCAATTGCTCATGGACCACCCTGCCAGTGAGCCCCTGCAGATTTTAAAAGTAGAAATGGTATGGGTCACAATCCAAGATCAGGAGGCTATCAAACTACAAATTGCTAATGAAAGCTTGAATTATAAAATTCCAACAATTTTTATTTTATAACACTATTTGACATGAGAGCGATTTTTATGGGAATAATTCCATTTAAACTTATTATTTACACAATGTCAATCAGACGCTGTCTAACAAAGCATAAGGTATGTATCTAGAGTTATACACATGAATCAAATTAATAATACTAAAAATGAAAATAAACCATCAACTCATATTTTGTTGCTAACTGAAAAATAGTACAGTCATTTTGGAAAACAGATAGCTTCCTATAAAGCTTAAGATATACTTACCAGGGGTGCCATCATGGCGGACGCGGCCAGTCAGGTGCTCCTGGGCTCCGGTCTCACCATCCTGTCCCAGCCGCTCATGTACGTGAAGGTGCTCATCCAGGTGGGATATGAGCCTCTTCCTCCAACAATAGGCCGAAATATTTTTGGGCGGCAAGTATGTCAGCTTCCTGGTCTCTTTTGTTATGCTCAACACATCGCCAGCATCGATGGGAAGCGTGGGCTGTTCACAGGCCTAACCCCCAGACTGTGCTCTGGGGTCCTGGGAACCGTGGGCCACGGTAAAGTGTTGCAGCATTACCAGGACTGTGAGAAGCCTGAGGAAATAAGTTCTGGAAATGTCCAGAAAGATGCCTCGTCTTCCTTTGATCGAGTTATTAAGGAGACGACTCGCGAGATGATGGCTCGGTCTGCTGCTACCCTCATCACACATCCCTTCCACGTGATCACTCTGAGGTCAATGGTACAGTTCATCGGCAGAGAATCCAAATACTGTGGACTTGGCGACTCCATAGTGACCATCTATCGAGAAGAGGGCATCCTAGGGTTTTTTGCGGGTCTTATTCCTCGCCTCCTGGGTGACATCATTTCTTTGTGGCTCTGTAACTCACTGGCCTACCTCGTCAATACCTATGCACTGGACAGTGGGGTTTCCACCATGAGTGAAATGAAGAGTTATTCCCAGGCTGTCACAGGCTTTTTTGCCAGTATGTTGACCTATCCTTTCGTGCTTGTCTCTAACTTGATGGCTGTCAACAACTGTGGGCTTGCTGGTGGATGCCCTCCCTACTCCCCAATATTTACTTCTTGGATAGATTGTTGGTGCATGCTGCAGAAAGAGGGAAATATGAGCCGAGGAAATAGCTTGTTCTTCCGGAAGGTCCCCTTTGGGAAGACTTACTGTTGTGACCTGAGAATGTTAATTTGAAGATGTGGGGCAGGGACAGTGACCTTTCTGTAGTCCCAGATGCACAGAATTATGGGAGAGAATGCTGATTTCTACACAGGATGGCGCGCTTTTTTAATAATCATTTAATCTTGGGAAAATGGAAAAAAAAAAAAAAAGATATACTTACCAGATAACAAAGTGATTTCAACCCAAGGAATTTACCCAAGTGGCCAGAATGCCAGTGTTCACACAAAAACCTGTATAAAACTGCTCATAGTAACTTGATTCACACTAGCTCAAAACAGGAAACAACCGCAATCCTTCCGGGGAATTGAGTAGACAAATAGTGGCATGTTTGTGCAATGGAATGCTATTCAGCAATAGAAAGGAATGCAGTGTTGAAGCCCCAGAGATGTGCAGGGCCTCCAAGCCTTTATGGTGAGTGAAATAAGTCCGCTTCAAAGCACCTGGACTGCACGACTCCATTTATGTGGCATCCTGGAAAAGGCACAGAAATTCCCAGAGTACTTGCCAGGGACCAGGTGTCTTTTACAGGATGATAGAAATTGCTCATCTTTATTAAATAGTGGTTATACAGTTGGACAAATATTCTTATGGTACAACATAGAACTATTTGTTAATTTTTACATGTATAAATCAGTGATATTCCCAGGGAATGAATAACAGAATTGCAGGTGAACAGACACATTGGTGGTGTAAGATAGAGCAAAATAATAATATATATTATAAATAATTTAATAAATTATATATATCATATAATATAACAATAAGGATTCTTGGGGCATAGGGCGAGGGGGAAAAAAGATAAAGGGGAGCTGATATCAAAGAGTTCAAGAAGAAAGAAAATGTTTTTAAACTGTGGTGGTAGCAATTGTACAATTGGTCTAATTAAATTGTGGACTTTTATAATATCTGTAAGTACTCCCAATAAAATGATTTTTAAAATCTTCTCCCTAAAGCCCTCAATCCAGTTTTGCATTTGGAGTCTTTAGTTGCTAAGTCTTCTGGATCCATAAATTACCTCTGGGGCTGATATGTCTCATCTTTCTCTTCAACAAGGGGTTTGTATTTCAACAGGGAAGAAAACCATAAGGCAAAGGAGCAGAAACCTGGCCATCAATGGTTACATATCACTTAGCGGTGAGAGGGGAGAGTTTGGGTGGCGACAACCTCCCCGAACCAACCAATTTGCATACTATCAGAGGTTATATTAAAATACTTATAGGTAGTTCATGGATGCCAGCCAATCAGAGCAGATACTGCTCAGAACCCGCGGCGCAGCCGGATCAGAGCCCACGTGTGTAGGCTCCACATGTCTGCCAGTCAACAAGCTAAGCTAAGGGAGTTGAAGCCAGCGCCAAGCCATCTGTCCACTCTCATCCCAAACCCTCTGCTCTCAGGAACAAGATCAGGGCATTCATAAAGCATCTCAGTTTTAAACCCCTACGCAGATGAACATAAAATTTAAAACTTTCAGCTCCCTAGAATCACATTTCACCACATCTTTCTACCCAAAGGCTGATATTTCAGGAAGAAACATGACGTGCCATGGATCACCTGGGGCTACATACTGCAGAGATAAACTCTCCAGGGTTCTCACTAACATTCCAGCACAGAGGTATTGTGAGTAAGCGCCAAGGGTGAGCTTTATGGGGTGGAGAAATTCAGAGGTAGTGAAGAACGCACAGGGGTGGGCGTGTATAGTTCCCAAAACAAGAAGGGCTGGGGTGTGAGACCAGACCATTTTGAAACTCAGCAAGGGGTGTCAAAACCCTCCTTTTATTGGTTCTCAGCACTGTGGAAAGGGGATGGGCCAAAAGAGAGAGGAGGTGCCAGCCCACCCTCCACCCCAAACCAAGCACATTCTCCTCCCCACCCAAACACAGGAGAAAGAAAAAGGCAAGCTCAGAGTGTGAAAGTCATTACGCTTCACTGGGCTCCCCAGGGAAGACAAAACTCCGTGAGCAAGGAGGTTTAATTAGGCCTATTTTTAAAGATAAGCTCTGATGAAGTTTACTGCCAGGTTGGGAGTAGCAGTTTAAACTACTCTAACTCCAGAGATGGCAAACATAATGATGCTGATGAAAATGTTGCTGACACAGCCATTTGGGACAGTTGCCGCCAAGACCTGGTGAGTGGGGCCACTAGTCGGGGCCCAGTCTGGCTCTGGTGAAGGAACAATGTTACATGGGCTGCTATCCTCAGGGCAGAAGTGTGGCCTTACCACCAGGCAGGCTGCATTGGATGTAGGAGGCTATTGCTGGAATATTAGTGAGGAAGTCGGGGCGCATGGAAGCCCTGTGAACGAGCTCCCAGGGTGGGTTTGGGAGATGTTCAGAGGTTACAAAACCAGCAGCAGATGACTGTGATCCAAGATGCTGGGTAGGCACTGAAGGCACGATGAAGGCTGTTGGGGGAGGAGGGCTTGAAGGGAAACAAGCCAGGACAAAGATACCCACTAAGCATTTGTTAGAAGAACTAAGATCCAATGTCTCAAATAGGGGCAGCCATAAGGGAAGTAAAGAAAACAGATTTGAGAGAGATTTAGCAAGTCTAATTGACAGGACTTGAGGCGTAGTGAAAACGAAGAGCGAGAGAGAGATTCAGGATGGATCCAAATGTCCGGCGTTGGTGGATTAGCAATCCACCATGAGAGGGAGTGAAGCCCCATCCGCACAACAGCACGGATGAATCTCAGTTGCCTTGTCTGAAGTGAGAGACAAGAGACCCAGAGGGCGATCTAGTGCATGATTGCATTTGTAAGGCATCTGGGAAGGGTGAACACAGGGGATGGAAACAGGTCAGTGGTTGCCAAGGTGGAGGGTTGGGAAAGTTCCAACCTTTAAACCAAACTCACTGTCCTTGAGCCAATGCCAACTCAAAATGACCCTGTAGGACAGGGTCGAACTGGCCCCTGCAAGTTTCTGAGATTGTAACTCTTCGTAAAGAGTAGAAAGCCCAGTCTTTCTCAGGAGCACCTGGTGGTTTCAAACGCCTTACCTTGCAGTCAGCAGCCCAACATGAATTATTTACAGACATGCTTGAAGGACGTTTTAAGAGTGAAGGGTTTATTCTGCAGTTGTTTGTGATGGATCCTAGAGGACTACAAGATTTTCAAAATGTGTAAAGTTGTACACTAAAAAGGTGGACTTTACTCTGTATAAATTATACCCTAACAACTCTGACCTAAAACCCAATCTCTGCCTTGGACACTTGGGTGAGAAGTAAGGCCATCAACTGAGGTAGAGACCACTTCGGGAGGGGCAGGTTTCCTCTGTGGATGGGCAAGCAGGAGAGGATTTCTGTGTGGACACATGGAACCTAAGAGAAGTTTCCAGTTAGCAGCTGGACACGTGAGTGAGAAAGCGCCGATGAGGAGGCGAAGAACCCAACACAGCATAGGCAGTAAGGAGAGCTAGGAGTAGGGGCGGGAGCCCACGACAAGATGGCATGTGAGTGGGCTGGGCAGCTACCAGTTTTAGGAGTATTACTTCAGTTCCTTCCTACAGATGCTCCCATACAATGCTTGTATATCCTTCCGATGATTTAACTTTAATTTACGCATTAAAGCAAATACCTTTGCTTTAATGCTTTAAAAGCAAATACCTATGGGAGAGGTAATACAATGAAACAAAAGTGCTGAAGTGTAAATGTTTGAACATGGTTTCTCCTTGGAGAGCTGAGTTGGAATTCAGGGTAATACTTAAAAAAAAAAAAAATCAAATGTTGAGGCTATCCTTAAATGTAGTCATATGTACTTCTAATGCAATATTTATCATGATCATGTGTTATAGATCCTTTTCTTCCATAGAATATCGGTTTACCTACTGCAGATGTCTCTTCCAAAGAGCAAATTGTCTATCTATCTATCTATCTATCTATCTATCTATCTATCTATCTATCTATCATCTATTATTTTCCTTAAATCTAAAGGTGAGAATGTTGAATTATAATGTAGAGTACTGAGTACTGGTGGGTAGGGAAGCAACTGGAGGCCCTACCTGTTGCCTCTCAAACTGTGCTTTCAGCAGAAATCCAACAAAAGCTGCAAGGTGGAGAGGGAGCCAACCCACGAGCACAAACTAGAATTGGTCTTAGAGAGGAGAGGACCTTGGTCTCCCAGGCAATCCCAGTTCAGCCACATACTAACCTTGACCACTGATTCTGGAATTGTAGTACTGGGATCAAAGTTTATTGTGAGACTCAAAGTAGCAAATGAGCATATGTCCATAGTTTATTTTTCTCCTTGCTTAATTGTTTGTCTTGCAGAGGACCAATAACAACATTGGGCAGAACTAGTGAGTACTGGAATAAAGTAGGCCCAAACCACTCAAGCAAAATTTTAAAGTTGGGTAGCTTGCACATGGTTAAGTAACAAGTGTTCATACTAAAAACAACAACAACAATTTGTATTTCACTTTGAGAATTAACGTGCATATGACCCAAGGTATGATATTTTCAATCATCTCATTTACATGTTTAATCCCTCATATGTTGGACTATGATAAGGAAAACCATGGAAACTTGATGCATTTGAATTATGGTGTTGGTGAAGATGGTCCCTGCAACTCTATGCTCTTTGAATCTGGAAGTCTTAGTTCCAAAGTGGGGAATACTCCCACCTGGAGACACAGCACTGATTCCATTGGACTGGAAGTTAAGAGTGTCTCCTGGTCATTTTGGACTTCTCATGGCTCTGAATCAACAGGCAAAGAAGGCTTTGACTATATTGCACGATGTGATTAATCCTGGTTATCAAAGGGAAATTGGATTCATATTGCATAAAGGTAGTAAAGAAGAATATGTCTTGAATCCCGGAGATTCCTTAGGTTGTCTTAGTAAAACCATGTACTGTGATTAAAATCATAATAAAGTACAGCCCCAATTATGGCATGACTACCAATAGCCCAGACTCTCCAGAAATTAAGATTTGGGTCACCCCACCAAGCAAAGAACAATGACCAGCGAGGTACGTGCTGAAGTAAAGGAAATATGAAATGGGTAGTGGAAGAAGGTGGTTGTAAGAACCAGCTATGGTGTTGTGACTAGCTGCAGAAACAAGGGCTTTAATTGTTATGAATCATTCCTATTTTAATCTATGCACCAAATGTATTTGTTTCATTCACTATAAAATGTA